ACTCTCCATGTGCCCCCCCCACATCAAATCCAAAAATAATCTCTATTAACACTTTCTTGTGTATCTTAAACAAAAGTTATACATATACAAATGCATCTTTTCTCATTTGCACTAAGGTGATCCAGTCGCTCTTCATCTTGTCTTTAACCTTTCATGATAATCATTGGAGGTCTTTTCATAGCGACATATGCAAATCTACCTCACTTTTACAACAGCTGCTCTAGTGTCCTAAATTTTCCAAGTCTTCTAAAACAACTGCCTAGTGTTAGAATGTATGATTATATTATAATATTTAAATAATCACCTATGGTGGGACATTTAGTTGCCAGGTTATTTGTTTTCTTTGTTATTTGAAACAAGGCTTCAATGAGGATCTTGTATTTTTTGAATATCTTGGCAAGCTTTTGAATACATACATACATATATATATCACATTTCTAACTGTGGAACTGTTGAGTCAGAGTGTGTGATATCTTAATTTTGATAGATAATTTGGTCAAAAAGCTTGCCAAATTTACTTCCCCTTCAACAGGGTTATGGAAGTGTTGCCAACGCTGGGTATCGTTAAACTTTAAAAAAAAAAAAAAATTTGATGGGTTAAAAAAAGAGGGCTACAAATACCTTTATGGTTAAAGCTTTGCTTTTTACACACAACAAAATTTACATTTTCAAGGTGCCTTCCCTTTAAGTAGCCTTATCAACCCCATTGCAGGTGGAGGCTGAAGTGAGATGGGGTAAAATGTAGTGAGATTCAGACCTGTGGTTTGAGAGGCAGGATAGTTTGCTAGCTAAAAGCAGACCCTAAAGCCCCTCATCTGGAACCTCCCTCTCTAGCTGACTTATGGAGGCAAATGAGGCTGGTCACATCACCTTCTCCTGCCTATTAGGGGCAGGCCCATATGAGAAACAGGTTCAAGACTGCCTAGGTCTACAAACACCAAAGGGACTTACTCAGAAATTCATCAGTTCAATCAACTGACATTATTTAGCACATCTAATGTACCAGGAAATTTCCTCTCCTAGCTCTTACTTCCCCAAATGGCAGTTTGCTCTTTGTTCAGTGACCTGTGGAAAGGCTTGACTATGCACTTCAAAGGGCATCAGAGAAGACACTCCAGCGGCCAGTCAGCATTCTGAGAGTTTCCCCGGTTGGTTTTGTGTGGCACAGTGGACAGTGCATGAAATGGGGAGACAGAAATCTTAGACTTTAGTCACAGCTACTCTTGGCATGTGTGACTACAGTCTAGTCACTTCACCTCTGCGAATCCTTTTCCTTACCTGCAAAATGCAGATGATAATATCAGCTTTGTCTGTCTCACAGAGTTGAGAAAATCAGTGAGTTGATTCAAGTGACAGAACTTTGTAAATTCTGTATCTCCACATACAAGCGATGAGAATTATCATCATTTGTGTAGATAACCCAGCTTGCTTGTTATATTAAAACACAGTTATTCTATTCAAAAGCAAAAATATTATTTAATCCTTTGTTACAATTCTAAACATATAGCGTGGCAAAACCAGACATAATTAAGGGATTCCAAAAGAGAGACAGAGAAGGAATGGCAAATGTCAGAACAAGCCAACTCCCATCAGTTGGCAATGGTTGCCTTGGGCTCTGTGTTAATGAAGATTCTGAGGTTGGATGTCCACTTCTCATAGAATGTGAGATAATCATCCTGTGTTGGTCATCTCCATTCTTAACTTCTTCATTCCTCAAAACAGTTCTGTGACATAGATTACTTATTCTCCATAAACATAATCACTAGATTGAAAATTGGCCTTATTATAAGAAAAATTAAAACAACACTTTATGGAGTAGAAACTATCAGGCGTCTTTACAGATTGGCAGAGTATGGAGGGATTTTATGTATAATCTAGTTTAGGTCCCTCATTTGACAGATAAGAAGACAGAGGTCCAGAGAGTAGAAGGGACACAGCTCTCACCTGGTGTTATTAAATGAGGTAATGAATCTGAAAGTGCTTTGAAAACTACAAAGCTATACACAAATGCAAAGCATTTCGATACCCTTATTAATTTGTTTATGCTTTTATTTATGCATAATTATTAATTATTGCTCAAAAGTGATTCCCCACCCCCAAATCCAACCTGATCTTATCTTTTTCCCTCATTTTGTATCATTGATATCTGAAGAAGCTCAATTAGGGAGGCCTTAAATTAAAAAGCTTACAAAACCATCTGATGGTATCTTTGAGAACCTGTGGTTGGAAAATCATCTTTTATATTTTAATTATTTTGGTTTCCTGACTATAAAAGATGGCACTAAAGTGGAAAAAATACTGACTATGACACACACACAAAAAATGTTTCCTTAAAGAAAATAGAGACTGAACATTAATCTTTTTTTCCAGTAGAGGAAATTTCACAATGAGGAAAGTAGCAGACAGAGCTTTTTAAATAAAATAGCCACTTCTTAGTTATTATGTTTCATATTTTAATGGTGAAATTTATTGCCTTTAACAGATAACAGGTTGTTGTTATTTTTTACCAATTCTTATAGTCTAAACTTTGAAAT